CCCACATGAGTGATTTCRATATATTATGGTTKAACTTGAGCAAAGCTGTATTCTTTTTATCTTTACGACTTTCATTACAATAGTAAGGGAAGCATCATAGTGCGGTTTGAGCTCGAAGTCATTGGTCAAGTGCCTGATCCACTGGTGCCTTTGAGAGATTATATCAAAACACAAGGAGAAGAAATCGATGGCTTACAGATAGACTACAACAGCATTCAGAAATCAAGTGGTAAGATGGTTTAGTAGCTTGGATTCTACTCGGGGAAGGCCAAGGGTGTTTTTACTTTCGTTTTACCACTGCTTTCATTGCTACTCGCTCATCAAGACATAGGTCGCTACTGGGAAATCGAACGTACAGTAGACTGTCGTCAGTCATATGAATCTCCCCATGTATGTACTTTTACGTACTCTAAGGATTTATTTGACAAAGTTTACGATGCTTAGTCTATATTGCCTGATTTGGCTGTACCGACTTTTGTCTCGATATTGCGTAGCAATGAAAATAGTGGTAAAAATCTGTGTGACTATATTTGTATTGTATCGTAATAACATAAATAATTAACCCTTTAATAGACTTCAAAGAAAATACGCCGATTCCATGTAAAGAGGAGAACAAGACACTGGTACCAGTTCTTGGAGCCCTGTTTGGTTTGTCGATTGTTCTGAACATCATATTTATAGTGGGGTTCCTGTGGTTAAGCAGAAAAGGTATGATACGTTATTTTGGATGTAAACGCATGGAACATGAAAGTAGAGATGGACAAAGAGGGAAAAAGATAGGATTAAAAGTTTAATTTAACTTAATTTTTTGTTTCCTGATTTTAGATTCAAAAGGAAGTTCTGGAAAAAAGTACGTACTATCTAAGACATTTAAATGATAAAAGTTCAGATTAATAAAAGCAATTGAAAGTTAATATCCCCTTTTTCAGATGGAACAAAAGTGACGAGAAAGGACAAATGGTAATTTTATATGTATAAAGCATACCATATTATCTAATATTATCTACGTATTATTGATATTGCGCACATGAAATTTTCATGTAGCTATCCATGTATATTCATCCATCCATCCATCCATCCATCCATCCATCTATCCATCCATCCATCCATCCATCCATCCATCCATTGTTTCTTCTCTGTCTATTCACTCATTACTATTATTCTTCCTTACGAACAAAGAACGACATCTCACTTCAAGAAACAAGTTTTAATGCTACAGATAACGAAACGCTAAACGTGCCAGAATGTAAACCAATAGGAAGGCGAGGATTATCGACGAGTAATGCAGGCATCCCTGAATATGAAGCGGTGACAACAAGAACCCGACCACGTCCACCACATTCTGGTGTACGGACGAATTACCCCATGCCTCAGTATGAAGGTACAGATCAACATGGACAAACAGAGGCTGTYTCAAATCCACCTCCACTCACCTATCAGACCATCCCACTTCGTGCTGGTTACTACGATTCACTGAGTCCTTTCACACGACTGCCCCCTAAGGGTACAGCACTGTCATCCACAGGAAGCCCAACACGTACAGGAGAGTACCAGGCCCTTCAACCCAAGATTGTGTCTCCACAGTACCAGTCTCTGGATGACTTGAGCAAATGCTAAGTGAATAAGGACCAAACGAGAACAATATTGATGAGCCATTGCCTTTTTCTTTTAAAAATGCTACTAATAGAGTAAATGATATGCAGGACATCTGTACCATTACTGATAGCACACTCACTCCTCCATTATAAATGATACACTTGCAATTTCATTTGATCACATTTTGCTATTTACTTCGGTTCAAATTAAATTCGTCACACGTTAAGTGCAGTTTTTTAATCATCAAGTAAATCATACACATATATCATAATGTTAAAGAAAATCAAGAAAAAAATAAGGCCTTCTAAAATGCGATTTATTCATATTTGTTAACCACATACATTACCAGCTCACTAGATACACTGTGCTGACGAGGCCCAATACAGGGCGAAATAGCTGTCCACGGTTTCTAGTTGAGCTGGCTCATTTTTTACGTATTTTTTTCTTGTATGGCACTCTTCTTCAGTCGTTTCATCTAAGGCTCGTAATTTACTTATTACGCATGTTCTTATTAAATATAATATGTTGACACAATAACCAAGTAGACACCATTTGGATTGCAATCACTTATTGATACTAATAAACAATAAAGGAAATAATTCACAAATATCAATTGCAAGTTCAGTTTTATGTTTGCTAGATTTTCTTTTACATTGCCAAAGTTTTTATTTGAAAGCTCACATAGGTTGAGAGCTAAGGTGTGACCTATTTCCCTGGTCCCAGAGGCTCGACGATTTTTCTCCCGGCCTCGTATATTTTTAGCCGCGAAGCGGTGAGCTAGCTGCGAAGCAGCGAGACCTCGTCGGAGCCTCTGGTAGGAACCGCATACTTGATTGATCAGGCCGCACCAATAGAATTACAGATTGCTCAAAATTGTTCTGGTTCACTGATTGGCTGATTTGAAGTCCAGTTTGTGATTGGCTAAATTATTAGTAAGACGTGGGTTCGAATCCTGCCAAGGGCATTTGATATTTTTCTCTTATTCTCTCTACTTCATTAGAAAAAATATCGCTCTGGGATCCTCACGAATACCCTACATTTCATATTCTGGCTGCGTTACCAGCGTGGTTGGTCCTTGTAGTGGTAGTGGTTAACACATCGGACTAGAATACCGAAGACGTGGGTTCGAATCCTGCCAAGGGCATTTGATATTTTTCTCTTATTCTCTCTACTTTATTAGTAACAAAGGGTAGGGAGGTACGAGTATACATTGCTCATTATCTTATGTCAGTTTGTTTGTAATGTCAAGAGATTTCAAGGTGTTATTTTATAGTTCTAGCTACAGTGAACATTTCTCGATGCCACATTGTATATCCGAAGCGCTATTCGACGAAATATTGTCAACAACGCTTGAAAAACGGTTTGAGAATATTGAAACGTTATCGGAAGAGCAAAAGACAAGGAGAACAAAGGTCATTGACGATACTAACTGAACAGGGTACARAGGTTAGCTTGATAATTTCACGCAATAACCATTGAAAGCCGATTTTAAAATCAATATCCGTCATAGAGTTGGTGAGTGTGTGTAGTCATTTATACGAGTTTCTCCCTTTGACTACCGATAAAATACAATAAAAAATACAATAAATATCTACAAGGCCTAGGCAACTAATCAGTAACACAACGGGCGTCGATCACATCAATATCACGACATGTTGACAGAAATTTGACAGAGCATTTGGTCTTTAACTTTGTAACTTTGTAACTTTGTAACTCTGTAACTTCGTAACTTTGTAACTTGTAACTTCGTAATTTGTAACGCCAAAAAAAAAAGAAGCCAAAAAATTCAGAAAGTCCGTCGTGAAGGTGAACCTCGGCATCGAGAACAACAGCTAGTCGTTTCACAAGATTTTCGTTGCGAGACTTTGGGCCAAAGAGGTGAATTCTTGGTCTTCCAGACGTAATACTACATTTGCAAAGTCGACAGGACTTTGAAGGATGTGAGATTGCGCTTTTCAATGGAGTATTTTTGTTTGAATTTCGTTCACAATTGGTTGCGATTCGTGTTGCTGAATGTAAACACCGGACTGTCACTTTGACATATTTGGACACGTGTACATGACAAAAGCACTTAGGTGGACTCCGCAAAGTTATTTTGGTCATCTACAACCTCCCCTCCCTAAATACTGAAAGCGCCACGGGGATCTCTTGTGTGAGTCTTGATTGGTTAGTTCTAAATGATTGATTGACACTTTGATTTAGCATGTAAATGAGGTTGTATGCGGTTCCTACCAGAGGCTCCGACGATTAGCAATGCACGCGTGCCAAGCTAGAAGCTTTGAGACTGTAATAAAGCTCATCATCATCATTATTATCATAATATAAGCTCGACGAAGAAAAAGGACAAACATGTTTCTTTTCTCTAACCATCCAGTACACCCTTTTTCCCATGAGCTTATTCACAATCCGGTCGACCAACTTGACCTGGCCTTCATGCTCCTGAAGATCACATTGACGAAGATCAGCCATTTTGAAACTAGTATTTAGTTGTCAAGGAGCGACCACGATCTTAGCTCAGACTCAGTAATCTGTACTTGAATCTCATAACTCGGATTTCAACAACTCGAATCCAAAT